TACCACAGGTTTATATGGCCTATGCCTGTGGAAGCCTCTTTTCCCTTAAAAAAGAGTGCCCCTTGATAAGGTGGTGAGGTTGTCGTTTCTTCAAGGGCTTATCACTAACATACCACCGGCCACTGAAATAGCAACATTCTTTTACGAAGCTTATTTTTTGAAAAAATTATCAAAATTACGAAAAAGGTAACATTTACACCGTCTGTAACTCTTGAACCGTACAATTTAGAATGATTATGAAAAGGACCATTCTTATTTAAAATTCAACGTAGAACATTTTTGTATACAACAATGTTTAGGATAAACCACTTAGTTTTTGAAATATTTACGAAAAACTAAAAAAACTAGTGATTTTTCAAATTCCCCCCCCCTCCCCCAAACCCGACGCTCAAAATGGTGTAACTTTTTACCAAACAATAAGAGGGTTATATATAACAATTTGGAGTTGGAATAAAACTTTTACTTTGGATGTCAAGGTTAGGCCTTTTTTTAGGTTAATAACACCGTACTGAGATAAGATATTGTGACAACGCGGGCATGCGCATGTTATGAAATGAAATAATTAATATGCAGATGCATATGCTGGTTGTGCGTGTATAGTAACCTCAAGATATATTTTTGGAAGAAGATATTCAAAATTGAAGAATGGTAATAGTTTCTCTTGAAAAATATCTGTCTGCAGTTCTGCAAAAATATCAAAAAATTGTCTCGTGAATCGCTCCAAAGGAGAAACACCTGTGGGTGAGTTCTGAATATGGTACAAAATGAACACCTTTCCGGAAACCCTGTAGCATTAAAGTATCTAGAGATTTATATAAGAATGAATAATGATCAATTCAGACTTTCTGTTTCTGTAATACACTGTGCAGTAAAAACTGAAAAGAAAATTGTCATTCAGAAAATGGATGAGAGACTCATACGGACTCAAGTGTGTAGGTAACAAACATTGGAAAACACATATTTTCTATAATGACTTCAATGTATTTTTTTTAATAAAAATTCAAGTGAAATATCAGCAATCATATAAACATCATTCCTTTATCCTTTGTTTAATGATGAAATCTTCAACATTATGGGCCAATTATTCAATGCTGCAGTCAACCCTTGCAATTAAACACAATGTAGATATATCTACATACTCAAAACTTCGTTCTTTATTGAAACGGCAAGCTCAAGGTTATAGGGCAAAGAAATCTAAGATTTTAACGAAGGAATAAATTGAAAAATTCATCCAGGAAGCTCCAGATAAAGAAAATTTAATGATTAAGGTAATTTATAAGGTTTTAATTTCTATTTAGATTATACCTTTATTTATTTTTTAGGTGGCTGTAATATTTGGTATTTCTGGGGTCTGTAGAATGGATGAGTTAGTCCGAATATGACTGTACACGATATAGAAGACCTTGAATCTAAGCTTTTAATCAGCATACCTGATTCGAAAACAAACAAACCAAGATCAGATCTACTCGAATGTTTATCGAAAGTATGTTTCGTTAAGACCAGAAAATATGAACAGTGACCGATTTTTCTTCAAATATCAAAGCGGAAACGGTTGTAGACAAGTGGTAGGAATTCATCAATTTAGAAAAATGCCCAAAATAGTTGCTACTTATTTGAACTTGGTAAATCCGACAGAATATACTGGTCACTGCTTTCGTCGGTCTTCTGCAACACTATTGGTTGACTCTGGTGCCGACATAACTAGTTTAAAGAGGCATGGCGGATGGAAGTCATCAAACGTTGCTGAAGGATATATCGAAGAATCGCTTAACAATAAGGTTGAGGTGGCAAATAAAATTTTCACAGTACAAAATATCCAACAAAATAACCCTACCACCCCGCATGTTGTCCAAAATGTTTCTCAAAGTTCTGACAGTGTTCCTCCAATGTTCAATAATTGTACTAAATGTCAAATTACTGTAAACAAAACAAATTGATCTCAAAAATGTATTCAGCAATGACTTGATGTTTTCAAAATATAAATTAATTCCTTATAAGCAAAGTGTTTTCAATCATTTATGTAGAACACTAACAACTGTACGGAAATATCATTTCCTTACAGTAAGGAAATGAGATTTCCTTACAGTAAGGAAGTCCTGACTTTTTCTTCAAGAAATTTTGACAGGAATGTCAAAATTTCAAGCGATTTGCGGAAAAATTAGTTTTCTGACAAATAGAATGTCAACTTTGAGGTATCATTCAACTCAGAGAACTACAAAGATTCCTGAAATATAATTACATATTCTATACATATATACAGTCCCATTTGAAAATCAGAAGTGGACATCATTTCTGGGAGAAGCAGAAGTCGCATTTTTTCCAAATATATCAAGAATCACCTTCGATTGTGTTTATTTAATATCTCGAATTTCAGAAAAATATCTGTCATAGGACAATATTGCTATTTCCCAAACTGTGAGAAATAGAAAGTTGATTAAATGAGGCAGAAGTTGCGTAATTTGAACCTTTTCAACATAACGTCTTAAATACGAAATACCTTCAGCTTTTCCTGAATTATTTTGACAGAACTGAAAATCACTTATGTTCACTGGTTCTCACTGTTTTTTGGAGACGTTTCTTAATTATATGATGATGTCAATGTGTCATGCATTACTGTGGAGGAAACTATTAACCTTATTCAATAGTAAGAAAAACAATATGGCGCCCATAAGAAGTAATAGAGTTGATTGTACATCTCTGAAAATAGTTGGGATTGAATATTTCTAATAATCTTATTCACTTTGTCATGATTAATCACCTGCTTACGTTTGCGCAAAATTTCAACTTGTTTCCTCGAATATTTAACCAAGAAAATAAATGAAAACGATATATCACTGATTTTCAGTTTTCTCGTAATATTTCATATTATAGAACGTTATATTGAAGAGGGTCCAATTACGAAACTTTTGTCTAATTTGATCAACTTCCGAACTCCTACCGTTTAGGAAACAGCAATACGACTGTCCCAATAAATTCGGCAGGACCCTGATGTATATCGGATATGTTTCATCCACAAACACACTGAATAACAATTAATGATACACAATGATAATGCCTATAAATGTATCTCAAATACTCGAATACAATAATGAACCTAAAAAATACTTCAATAATGATAAGAAAAGCCGAAATCCGAATTATTTCACAATTCAGAAAGCGGCTTTTCTTCGATAAACATCGTGTTGAAGTAATTCGAGAAGTTTCGAACCAGGGATAGGTCGTAATTCTTGGTTCATGAAATGATCTCTATTTCCTTCCGAAATGTTCGATTCTCTTTCGTATGTTACAAATCTAATAAAGTCTTGAATTATCCAGAATGATATATAGTGTGGCTATCTCGGTGGCTATAGTCGCAAGAATATTTGGGGCCACATTTGATTCATCAAACCGTTTTTAACGTTCAACCCTTGCAATTTGAAAATATCATCGAATTGCTTCCTCATTGACTGAAACATTTTTCAATGCATGCATTTAGGGCATCATTTCACAGACACTAGAAACTTCTTCTAATCAACCTCTCCTCAACACAAAGATTAAGGTGAAGTACATTGTGTTATGTTATTTTTGTTTGACACAGAGAGTAGTTGGCATGTCATATTAGTACTCTAGATCTTCAGTACCACTATCACTGCCACTATTACTTTATCTACTCATGGTTACTGTCAGACAAGAACAACCCAAATTCTGTAGACAACGAACGTGTCAAGATGGCCCTAGGTGCCTTGCTGTACGTTTTTTTAATGTTTTATCTGACAAGTTTGAACAGAAAGAAGGTTCAAAATTCATAGGAAATATCAAGAAATTTTTACTGGAAAACGCATTTTATTCGTTTGATGGGTTTCTGAACTGTCATTTTGTGTCCTTATTTAGATGAAATCATTTTTTATACTGGAGAAGTCACTTTCTATCTATGTATATGATATTCGACCTGTGTAAATACATTCATTCTATAATAACACCAATGAACGATTGATATATAGATTGATTGAACTAATTGAAACATTGATCTTAAAATATTTCTAGAGTGTGTAAAATGGTCCCCTGAAATCAAGCATTGACAAAGATCCCCTGAAGCCATACACGGAAAAATACTATTTAATAATGAAAATTTGATATTGTTTCCGGTGGAAACGGAAGTGAAAGAACAAAAAATGTTTTCGCCAATAAATGAGAAATCTGGTGAAATTACTATCCACCAAATTTTCAAATTCGACCTCGATTGATTCGCTGCTGTAACCACTGGCCTTTTAGTACAACATCTTAGCCTATATTTCTCAGGTCAAAATGAGCCCATTTAAATCAAATTACCTCTATACGAAGGAGTTGCTTCGTTTCCGAGATACAGGGTAGTGAAGATAAAACATGAAAATCGACAAGTATACACTTCAAGAAAGTATTGTGAAAGATCCAATTTTGCACTGCTAATTCACTGACCAAATTACATCTAAGAAGTTGACAGCAAATATATTCCATTCGAAATAATTGCTGAATCGATCATTGAAAACAGAGATAACTCGAAATCGGCTCATTTTAGCGAATTGTCCCAGGAGTATCTTATTTGCTCAAAAATGTCAATAACAGTATTTTCTCAAGGAATATTGTGGCCACAATAACAAGGTGCCTGTATTCGTGTTTCGCATTCCAAAAAACCCCCAAATATCAATTTTCGAAGTAATAGGTTGAAAAATGTTCATATATATACATTCTGAAAAATTCGATTTTTATACTTCAACTTTACCACCCAGTAACTCGGAAACGGAGCAATTTCAGACTGAAGTAAGGTGCTTTGAGTCGGCTCATTCTGATCTCAGAAATATGTACTGAGATTTTGTACAGACCTTTGAAGGACATCCTGTATACAATCAGTAATAGAAATTTGTACTATCCCGTACGGTTGCCTGTCCCTAATATGCTGAGGATGAAAAAATGCTAGAATAAAAATTCCTCGGAAACAATAGTACTTAGATCGTTTGAAATAATTGATTTAAAAAACAACTCACAAATTGCCAAAAACACCAAAGGTAACACGATAACCTGCATCTTGAATACGAGAGTAATCAACTCATTGAATTTCGACGCTCTTGAAGAATAAATACTGAATTCTCATCATAACACATTTGCCTATCCATAGATAATTGGATTCTTGAGTGCTGATATACAACCCTCGAAAAACGGAAAAAACAACCGAAAAACATACAATAATATAAAGATGTATAAATCAAGAGCTAATTTTATCGAGACCGACCCACTTTAGATGATAGATTACATATCCGGTTAGATATAATAATGTAATTACTTACATGAAAATTTATAATTTAGGTTTGAACTCGGGTTTGTATATATAAAAATATGAATATTATCAAATTAAACAATAATTGGATATACTTATCAAGCCCGATGCCATAGCTTAGGCAGATTTTCGTAATCAATTCAATGAACAAGGATACCTACTATCTATACTATACATATGAGTAGTAAACATTCAAAGCATGAATTCGAGAATTTTCAATAAAATTTAGTTCAGCAAAACTTTGATACTGCCTTGTAGCATCTGAAATTGCTACAAGTTAATATTAGCTGATTATTTTGATGAAACTTATCAAATTACAGTAGAATAGCACTGTGATGTGCAGAGATTTGTTTTCAGTTCTCTTTGGTGTAATAAACGTAGTCTTCAAATTCTTACCTTATATGAATTATGAATGAAGAAGCCATACTCACAGTGAACATTCAGTCTGACATATAGTAAATAATCCTTGAGTAGTGGAACATTTTAATGAAACAACCATATCACACACAGCTTTGAATGAGATCTTTTACAAACAAATTCCAATAGTAGAGTACTCTTTCCTTCTGATATTCTATGTGCTAATAGGAAGTGATGATGTAAGCTACAGGAGTCTTTGATTTCTGGCGTTCTGATCCTAAGGCCCTAGAATCAAAGGAAATAATTAATATTGTAATCCATTCAAAAGTAGACAGACAACTTACCGTTGGTGTTCTCCAGGGCGATAAATCCTATTTTGCTGGAATATCTCAGGATTTATGATGATGTTGTTCATTCTGAATTGGTTTCAATTTAAATATAAATTTCTTTGTTCATCGATCTGATGAGACTGAATTTCTTTGTTTATTTTTGGGATAATATTTCAGGTTTATATTTTCTTAGTGTCATCAGGATGTCACTGTCACTGCTGTCATACTGCAGTCATTTTGGACTGTCATTTGTCTTCTGTGAAGGATTTAGAGATTATTCTTATGAAGACAGAAGAAGAAGAACAATTCTTCTCAATAGTTGGGGCGTTAGCATTTCTTCGACCAATAGGATTCTTGGAATTCATATCTGGCGCTAATTAGGATGTAAACAGGAAGTGAGGGTTTTGACTAGTTGAAACGAGGGGAAGAGGATTTCCGGCACGTAGCTACCTCACTTTTTCTCGGCCAGCCATGGTGGCGTACACTTGACCTGTGGATAAAGTGATTTTTATTTTCTCGGTGAAAACCGTAGAAACCCTTAGGGGATTTTGATTTTTTGGGAAGCCGTTGCTTACCGTCAGTGGATGGAATCTCCGTCAGGAAGCCATTCGAGGGATTTGTTCCTGGAGACTGCCATGAAGTTTCAAGGAGCCATGCAGCTCGGCCTGTTTCAGTCTTTCGAAGCAAAATCTAATAATTCTCCAACCCTACCGTCCTTCTCAGAAGGTAAGTCACAGCCATAGCAGATTCAGTCAGTGAAATCTTCGAAAATATATCCTGTTCTTCAGTTTTTTTCTGTTGTCTCCACGTACTCTGTGTGCCCTCTCAGGAGGCTATATTCAGTTCTTTCATAGGGTGCTAGGGTGCAGCTTAGCTGTGCTTCGGACTCCTGGTAGCGACCGGCCCTCAGGATACTCTACTCTACCCTTGTCAAGATCCTCCAGTGGATCTGAGTAATCCTGCAAGGTCTTCGGATCTTGGCCAGAGTCGACCATGGAGAGACCAGATGGAGCCCAGTAGCAGCTGGTAGAGACTGACCCCTGGTTATACTGCATCCTGGAACTCTGCTGACCGTGGAGGTTCAGCATTCCTCGTTTGTGTTGTCTTCACCTGCAGTTACCTATGCTGCACATCTACATTCATACCACTTGGGACCTTGGATAGGGGTGATCTGGACCATTGCGGAGGACCCTTGGACCACTATCAGGTTTTTTTGTTCCACCTTCAGTGTTTTACCTTTTTGATACATATTTACATTTTTTTACATCTGAGACTGGTTGAGTAATCACATTTTTTACAGTATTAATTCATAAACTGGTGAAGCTCTTGTGAAGCTCTCCCATAGTATACTATGTGACTGCGGTTGCTGAACAGTTCATTGCGCTATCATTCCTTGACTAGTTAAACGTTCCTTTTTATAGTTGTATAGTTGGAATAGGATTGTAACTATACTCATTTTCACTTATTCTATAACTATGGTAATCGTCCTGGTATAGGTAAAAAAATTATGATAGTATAACTATGCAATTTACTCAACCTCAAATATCGAAATAATACGTACAGTACTTTAGTGATTATTTTTCATCATAATACAGTAAGCCCCTCCATAGGTCGATATATAACCTTGTCTCTGGTGGTGCGAAATATAGGTCTTGAATTTCATTTTGGTTTTCATTCTTCCATATGTCCAGCCCAGCCTTCTAGGAAAATACACCTTGAACAATTTTAAGATTTTTTAAAAACAGATTGGTTGAAAAGGAATTTGGTTTTCTCAATTATCCAAATTTTAGGATTTTTATAAATTGAGTGGCGTCCAAGAACTTGAATGTTCTACACCATCTAGCCTATACATCGAACTCACATATCTGTTCTCCGATGTACAGCTGCCGATAACAAATGTGTTCGACTTTTCAATACTTTCATCCTTTTAAATTAAAAGTTGGCCACAGCCTATAGGAAATACCTTCATTTGCAAAGAATTCCAAAGCTTTGTCGTTCCACAGACGAACGAGTGTTGGTAGAGTGTTGTTCGACATATCTCAACGTTGACAACGGATGGATGTGCTGACTGGGCTTGTCCAGTCCGTCTGACTGGTAAGAACTAATGAGTGTGGCGCCATCCACTAGGCGAATGACTCTTCCCTAGATAGAATCTAAGATTATCACTCATGTTTGGGTGCCGAACCCCATATCTGAGAACAGTATTCTAAAACTGGTCGTATCTGTGCTTTGTAGATCATAAGGAGCCGTTGAGGTAAAATAGTCAATTTTCGCAAGGAACAAAAACCCAAGTTTGTGTGTCGCGATTGATTGGACATGATTTTTTCCATGAAAGAGTATTACTGATAGAAATATCGATCATAGATATAGTGGACTTGGTGGGAATGGTGATACCAGACATTGTTATATCAGGGATACTCCGTGTTCCGCCTTTATAGAGAAAACGCAGGCTTTAGTTTTGGTGGCGTCGAATTCAACTAGGTTGTTGGTTCCCCAGGCTGTGATCTTGGCTTGATCTTCATTGATAGCGTTGACCAGCCTTGGTAGTGAGTTCTCAGTTTCCTAGGAAGTTATAGGAATTCTGGAACAGTATGAAGAGTACTATCATCTGCAAATTAGTGAATATACCCTAATAACACAAGATGTCTATTGGATATCCGTATTGTATCTATTATATGTCCAAGGTGTCCATGGACACATTCTGGACAACAATAGGATGACCACATGAAGATATCCAATGGATGTCCAGAAAAATTATTCCATATGGTGGCAATTCCATGACCCCATTGATAATGTTTCCTCACACAACAGTATCAGGTATTATCGACATCGTTTGGCAGGTACAGTAAACCATATGGTGTCCGTTATATGACCAACGTGTTCATGGACACATTCTGGACGACAATCGGATGTCCACATAAAGTTATCCTATGGATGTCCAGGAAAAGTATTTCATATGGTGGCAATTCCATGTCCCCACTGATAACGTTTCTTTACACAACAGTATCGGGTATCATCGACATCGTTTAGCTCTTTCGGAGACCATGGGAACACAGGGTCAGCCATGTCAGAGCAGTGATATGAGTCGTAATGCCGTCCACCATTGTTATTGTTGTTAACGTTGATGCATTGATAAATTTCTGTGACTACTGAGACTGAAAATTCACACATAATTCGTTCGAATTTGTATTGAGCGACATTATTGTGATAATCTGTTCCCTCGCCTGTTCCTTAATATTCGTGTGTGAACGACGTGTTGCCTATTGTGTTTCATTCTTATGTCATTTCGGTCGGAGAGTAAATAGATCACTCGAAGTGAATAGACATTCTTGGATGTATTGATGAAGATGAAGATTTTCAACTAGTAGAACGGATCTGAAAGTACCGATTAGTGCAAAAGTGAACTTGAAAATTTTGTTCAGATCGAACTCATATTTTGTCAGCTCTAACAAACTGAACATAATGAAAGACGTTTCAATAAAAGCAACATATCACATCTATCTGATGAAGAATATTACAAAACCTAGTTTTCTTGAATATAATCACATTCACAAATTAAATTAACAACCAGATCTTATTATTCCTTTATATGAATGCATACGTTTTGGCCATCCTGTGAAAGTAACCATATGGATGTCCATGACAGATACCATATGGATGTCCATGATGGATACCATATAGATGTCCATATTATGAATAGCTTAAAAGTTGGAAACGCGATATCCTATGATTGTCCATACGTCCTCCAATGTACACAAACTGAATGTCCTGTGGATGTCCGAGATGTCCAGAGAAGGATGTCCATAAGACGTCCATTGGATCAAGTTGTGTTATTAGGGTAGGGCAATTGGTGGCTCCCAACAAATCATTCATATGAAGTAGGAACAAGGTTGGTGCCAAAATTGATCCTACATGAACGCCTGAATTGATGGCAATGGTATAAGGCGATAATTCTAGCTGGGACGGTGAGCCTTCTTCTTCTTCTTCCTCGAAGCACTGGTGGGCGGGTGAACCCCCTGCACGTGGGCCTCCTTATTCGGGCCCATTGTGCGCCCACATGTTACGACATTCAG